GGGAAAGAGAATTAGAGAATTCGAGGATAATTTCAGTAAAAAAAAATACAAAGAATCTTTCACAGACAGCTATCTCAATTCATGAAATATTAATAAATATATAGAAAACATAGAATTTTTTTTTACATTTACCCCAAATAGTTCTTTAGTATCCCTTTATGAATAAGGTAACTTTCTGAATTAACAGTCCTTCTTGTTTGTTTTCCAAAATCACTGCAATATTACAACAATTTTCATCCATACGCTTTTCAATTAAGCAATGGGAAAGATTAAAAACTTTGTCCGAGACTTGATTGATTTAAAATTTTTAAGTGAAGAATAATGATTGTATGATCCAAACAAAGCACCTTAGAGGTAGAAATTCATAAAAATGTATCAGTTAGAGCTCAGTACTAACTACCATTACCTTTTACCAGTATTACTATTGCTAAAACTTCCTAGCATTTATTGCTTTTATATTTTTGATGGTTTTTTGTGGAGCTAGGTTAAGTGAAAAAAAAAACGCATTAATACCAGCTTAATTTTATATGGATTATCATTTGATAAAAGCATTTCTATTGATGAGATTTTAATTTTCAAAATTCCTTACAAATACTATATTCTTGTCAAAGTATTTTGAATTTAAAATTTAGCTGCTATTAGTTGTTTTAACTAATGCCGAGTCTTCCACTATCTCTTTTTTCCACGTTTCGATGTTTTTTAGCGGACTGAACTTTGAACTTTCAACTGATTCAAATCACTTGCAGACACAAACATCAATGTTACAAGCACAGAACTTGAACAATACCAATTTTTTAACTGCAAACCGGAACAATGTTCCCCCACCATTCTTTAAGTGTGCAATGCAAATATTGTATTGCATGTTTACTCCTAAACAATGAATGAAGTTAATTTTATAAAGATATGAATGAAAATTTTCTTGAAAAAATGATATTGCAAGAGAAAAATTCAAGGAAGCTTTTGTCAAAGCCACAATTAACAAGAATAGAGAACGGGACTACATTAGTCACTATTCCGGAATTAATTGAAGATTTTGTGGTATTATAAATACAGGATAAATATCTACTAAAAGTTGACTTTGGTTTTTGTCAGTGAATTAACTGAAAGGGCTTGGACTTGAATTGTTTACAATGTATAATGACAAAAGTATTGTCTGTTTCTTTGTTGTAGCACTAATGCGGGCGCGTTCAATTATGTTTTAGAGTTCTTTCTAAAGTAATGGAGCATATTACTCTTTGCAAAATTTATTGTTTAGCTTTTAACCCCTTACCTGCGCCATCTTTGCGACGTGACTGGCGCATCCACACTATCAATTTTGAATACTGTGAATGCAGAAGTTCAAGTTTATGAATCATACTTTGAATCATGATACTGCAGCTGTTTTCTAAATTCACTCATGAACATTTTACACTTACGAAACTTTAATCACTACTGAAAATATCTAATTGTAAATATCTATTATTACACTACGCACATAAAGCATTAAACACCATAACGGGACATTGTTTATGTTACGATAGCTATGGTGTGTGAGAAATTTTGTCCCTGACATACTTCATAGGCTTAAAAAGTCTTATAAGCAGCTAAAATTCTATCAACGGTAGATAACACCATCTTTTTTATCTTTCTCGGTAATTTTCTTGAAAAGCATATGCCAGGATTCATTATAAATGCATCGTGAGTTAATAGTTCTTAAGAGAGGCAAGGCGGTGTGCGGTGGCTCACAAGGGACACCACACAAAATAATAAGAATTATACAAAGTAAAGATATTAATACATACACAAAATACATTACAAACACACAAAATACATTATACACACACAAAATAAAAATACAAACACAAAATACATTATACACACACAAAATACGTTATACACACAAAATGCATTATACACACACAAAGTACATTATACACACACAAAATAAAAATACACGCACAAAATAAAAATACACACACAAATATGATCGCGGGCGCTTGCAGTGTCGGATAGCTGATATATAGTTGTAATCAGATATGTGTAATTTTGAATTTAACATGTGGTCGACTAGTACTTGTCGTCGTATTTAACAGTTTTAACTGCGAAATAATTTAAATGAAATTTGGAAAGGAATCGAAAGCAAGGTCTTGCGATACTGAAGCGAAAAATAAATAAGAGAAATAATAAGCAGTTATTGGATGAGGTTGAGCATGATATCAAGAATTATTCAGACCGAGGTCAATGTTTTTTGCCTCAGCTTCGCTTCTTTCGATAACATTAGACAGCTTACGAAACTTCAAATTTTCATGACGACGCTGGAGTTAATGCTAGTGCGCATGCTTCTTAACATTTTGGCTGCTTCCTTTGACGACGACGCCGTGAAATCGTCTTCTTTGGACGCCCTGCATGTATAAAAAGTTTATGACAGCATTACTGATCATGCAGAGTTGAGCGACTGGTCTACCAAATCTTGGCAACATATCCATGTATCGACAAGGGTAGGCAAAACGTTTCGAAAATATGCACAACGCCTCAACTCTATCAACCTTAAGGCTGGTATAATTACATGATGTAATAAATTGTGGTAGCCTCAAAGCATCCACAAGAGTATAAATGTGTGATTACATAAACCGAAATTCTGCTTTACACTCGTCGTTGTTAATTTATCTAAATCAAACTCTTCGCATTTCCAATGAGGCAAATCCGGACTTTTAGCAGTATATAAGTTGAAAAGCAAAATAAAGTCTTCGTCGTTGATTAATTGATCCGAATAAGACATAAAAAGACGCTCTCGAATTGCTCTCCACTTCGGCATTTTTTGTTTTTGAATTTTTTTGAAAGCAGTGTTTACTGATTTATATTCCCGCCAATTATTCTTCCGCTGAGGCGGCGTTGTAAATTTGCGTAAACTAAAAATACGCTTGCGCCGGCGTTGTGAAACACAAGACGTCCCCGTCTCGAAAAACCGTGCAACGTAAACTCTCTATTGTTACATAAATACTTCGCAGTTAAAACTGTTAAATACGACAAGTACTAGTCGACAACATGTTATATTCACAATTACACGTATCTGATTACAACCTTATAAGCTGATAGTCAGCTATATATAAGCTGATAGTCAACCTTATAGTCAGCTATCCGACACTGCAAGCGCCCGCGATCATATTTTGTGTGTGTATTTTTATTTTGTGTGTGTATTTTTATTTTGCGTGTGTATTTTTATTTTGTGTGTGTATAATGTATTTTGTGTGTGTATTAATATCTTTATTATGTATAACTTTTATTACTTTGTGTGGTGTCCCTTGTGAGCCACCGTACAGACTACAAATTTCCTATTGGCTTTTTGGCTTATGGACATATTTTATTTAAAATACTACAAATACTACACTTATTTCAGTATCATCAAAGCTGGCATCTAATATCATTTGCATTCTGAGTTTATTTATGACAGCTTAAAGTGGGTCACTTATATGACGTCACGCTTCTCCTAGCGCAGATGGATGCGCTCATAAGTAGTTGGACGTCAGGTTTTTTATTAAAATTTTGCCTTGTGATGGTTTGTGACTGATATCAACAACTATTTGTAGAACAAAACTTCCCTTGACATAGTTTCATATACTATATAAATTGAGTTTTTCTCGGAGTTTAAGACAACCATAACGAGCTGAATACGATGGTTGTGTTCATTCGTGCATGTAAACTAAAGTGCACTATCATCTATAGCACGACATTCGACAACCCTTTTTAGACAAAACTGCCCTTTGGTAATTTTGTAATTTTAGCATAAACGCAAGCTTGTAGCCAAGAATGATAATTGGGGGAGGGCTAATATTAATAAATTCATGACATCCCATATTGGTTTCTTTTGACATCCATTGTTTTTTATGGACTATAAAATGAATACATGAATATCCCCACCTCCCCAATCATCGTTTTGGCTACGTCCCTGCATGAACAATGGCTTCTTTTTGTAACTATTGAGCATGGAATTATGTATTTAATTGGTGCATATAAATGTGAGACAGTTGTTGTGTTTAATTGTATTCACTTTTCTTGAACAAATCAATCATTAGCATTTGAATACAAACTAATATACAAAATTGGTTCTTTTATTTCCTACAAAACATTCTTTAAATAATATAAGTTAGAGGCAACGAAAATTATTGCAAATTGAATCCAAGTAAACAAGAAAAGACTTCAAATTTTATGATAACGTCTCATTTCAATAATTTGAGTTTCATCAAAGCTTGCTCTCAACATAAGTATTGTTTATGTGACAGTTAAATGGGGTCACTTATGAAGCTGTATTGCTTTTAGTGGATATTGCATTTGTAATATTTGTATGTGGAAAACAAAACGCACTATAAACTAACTAATAAAAATGCCTAAGAATTTCACAAAAGCAATCCAAAGTGTGAAAAAAAGAGTTTTTTTCTATGTGGCGAATTGTCGCATTAATGTGACACAATGAAAAAGAAATTTTGGCTATAGCTTAGCCATACCAGTGACAGGTGCATTTATCATGGCTTTCAAATGCGTCGTGTTTTCCCTCATGTATACTGAGGTAAAGACCACACAAACTTTCATTTCTCTTACACCATTATATTTTTTAGCAAAATTATCGCATCTTCTTTACAAAATTAACCACATGAAAATATTTGTTTAGTAGGATTAGAAACAGGCTGGCTTTGCTGCAGCTGATGCAAAAGGTTTAAACTCTATCGGGCATGCTTGGATGTATATATCTACATCTGAGACAATGAATTCTCTTAAATAAGAGAAATTCATGCAGACTTTAAGCAAGATGATAAGTTAAATTATATATAACAATACCGATAGAAAATCATTATAACAGCCTTTTGCTCGCATTTTCCATCCTTAAGATATTGTGAATAGTTTTGATGAAGTTTTTACTTATTTAACTTCATTCATGTACTTAAAAGTTTTTTAATTTGGCCCTTTTCATGCATCATAAATTATTCAATAATCACTTTTGCAGAAGTATAAAAGACATACGCTCTTGTTCTTAAATGCATAATAACTAAATTCTCTAAAACAACAACATTTCTCCAAGACAAAACATCGAGTCATTTACTCAGGTAACAATCAAGTTTTAGTAGCATATCAATATGTATAAAGCCACATATGTTGACTGTGTGGAAGTTGTAGAATTTCAAAATCTTAGATAGGAACGTCCATATTGTTTTGTTTAGGGAATGATGAATAAAGTCAAAGTGATGATATCGATGTTTATTATTTTGATGATGACTCAGCAAAGCCTTGGAGGACGTTCTATAAGTTTCCCTGACGAATGTGAGGGGGTTTCTTGCAGAAAATTTACTACAGCTTTAAAAGGAGGTAACTTCTGTAAACTACATGTTATAAAGTTTCACAACAAAATTTACATACAAAAACTCAAATTCAAGTTCGAAACAAAAAACTGAAGATATTCATCACAGTTTATTTTTTTCCTATTTTATGTGATGGCAGGAACATGTTATGCTGACTGCCACAAATGTAACAATAAATGTTGCAAACAAGTTGGAGTTTGTCGATATTGTTATTCAACTTTCATGCGTATGCAAAAAGTTCCTGAAAAAAATTGCTTATACAAGCGAGAAAGATTTTACAGGAAAAGAAACCTTGTCTCCTTTTAACTTACTTAGCAGCTAATACAAACGTCTTTTAGTTCTTGCATTTAATTTATGATAGAAAATTACTGCAATTAATTAAATTTAGATTATGCTAATTTCTATAGTTTATGACTGTGAATAAATAGTAATTAGTTCGTATGAGATCAAATAAATCACTGTGCAAATGTCGAATAATTCATTTCATTTGGTTTTTATCATCTGGATGATAAAACTGCAATACTCTATAATACTAAGTGTCAGACTTTATTTCACAATACTAAATGTCGTAAATTACTTTATAAAAAATTATTTTAACTGTTTCTAAGACAACGCTGACCAATTTCCTTCCGATCAATAGCAGTAACTGTAACACGTCAGAAGAAATATTCAATAATAAATTTATTGTTTTGCAGAATCAAATTTATTTCATTTATTTTGAAAATGAGTTTCATAGCTGACATTGGTACTAGAGATAATTAACGAGTTTAGGTTTGCAACAAGAGGTTGAAAATTACCTTATCCAAAGATGGTATTTTGAAGAGGTGAAGAATTGATGAACAAAGCATAAAAGCTTTCTTTGCAATTTGCATTGATAAAACTTTCCTTTTTGCGAATAACTTGTAATTTTCCTAACAGTAAAATTATATGCTGACGTCTCATGCTGAAGATTAACCGACTATTTTTATATTATAACCAGAAGAATTTGAGAAATTTCATTGGTCGAGAGCTATGATCTATACAAGGACATACGCACGGAATTGACGTCATAGAAAATTTTATGTTTATAAAAAGAAACAAATGGCAGACATATTTGAAAATTTATCGCAATACCTCCCTGAATGGGCAAATAAAGATATTCACAAAGACCTAGTTGATGCAATTAACGTATTTGCAAAAAGAAAAGAAAAAACCAGTTTTCAAACATTAATTTGTACTTCGTCTTCGATAACAAAATTTCAACAATATTGATCAGCCATTTCTTGTTTATTTTGCTATCCAATCTCATTTTATTACGTGATTAAGCTAGCCAATAGCATTTCTTCAATCCTATAGATCATGCAAGTGATATATTTGCAAAATTAAGAATTTTCAATGTTCCAAGTGTTGGGAGACAAAGAAGACAAACTGTTTGACGGTTTAATTTGGGAATTTTTTTATTTTATAATATAAAACAAATTGATAACATTGAACCATTGTCTATACAGTTATAGATACACGGGTAAGACGTCATTTGTGATAAAAACAAAAGAGACCACTCGCCCCGGCAGCTCATTGCCACATTTTTAGTTTTTGCCACAATTGGCGTCATACCCGTGTATCTATAACTGTATAGACAACGGTTCAATGTTATCTATTTGTTAATTAGACAATTTGTGATAATTTATATATCACAAGTAACGAGTTTAATATTGCATAAAATATTAAACTCATTACTTGCAGAGACTATACACAAGAAAAAAATGAACATCAAGTAAACCGTCGCTAAAGTTGTCAGCGCGCAACATCTGCAGAAAACTTTAGTATAAATAGGTAGTTAGACTTACAAAGGCTCATCTAAGAATAAAATAGTGAAAATTGTGTTAATAAATAGCACTTTTAAAACTGTTAGCGCACAAAAATGATGCAGCTAAAAAGCGATTGGAACGCATAGCTCTAAACTATGGCACTTGTTAATTGTGCTGACAAAGTTTAGGAAGCTTGGCGTACTCGAACGCTTCAAATTGCGGATTAGTTCAAACTCGTCGTTTTTAAATGCCATTTTGTTATAATTATCATCAATTATGCCTGATATGAGCTTCAATTTATCCAAATAGCTATGAATAACTGAGGACTATTTGCATAATCAATAATAATTTTCAGCATGTTGGCCATCGTCGAGAGAAGTTTCATAAAAAATTCTCCTTCCTCCCTCCCTTACTCTGTGTTTACTATGCATGTACTATTGTAGAGTTCTTTCCGTGGTGAGGCTTTTATCACACCAGTTTTGTCAGGCTTTTATCGCACCAGTTTTCTGTGCTATACAAAAAAACTTTATTCGTAAAGAATTTTATTTTAATCGTGTAACATAATTCCTGTAAATTATTTGGTAGTTTGCTATTTCTATGTTATTAAACCGGCATGTGCTTTGACATATTGCCAATTTTTATCCAAAAAAGAGTACTTATTCAGTTTACTTAAATTTCAGGTGCACAGAAAACAGAGCTCATCAGCTTCAAAACCTCATTTTGCTATTGATTTTGCTATGATTAAGCGGAAGCAGTAAATGAAGGTTTCAAGAAAATAGCATTCAAAATAGGAAAAATTGAAAAATAATCGGTAGTTTGGATAACTAGCGTTTGTGCACGATTTTTCCAAATTTCCCGGAAGTTTATAATCTTGGACAACATGTGCCATACTTGAAATCTATGTGTTCCAATTGCTTTTTAGCTTTGTTATTTTGTGCGCAAGCTGCTTCAAAAGTGCATTTATGTAACACAACTCTCACTACATTTTTGTAAATGTCGATCGTCCTGGTTGGTATAGTCCTGAGAAACACTGTTTTTGTTGTTGTTGACTGACGTTTCGACAACCTTAGCGGTAGTCATCTTCACAGTCAAAAAGTCCTCCTCAGGACTATACCAACCTGGACGATTGACATTTACAGACATGTAACGCTACTCCGAGGTTCAAACCATTTACTTTATTACAACTCTCACTCTATAAATTGTTACTATTTTCAAATTTTTTATTGTCAATTGATTTATTGGTAATCCAATAAATTTAATGATCTATCCTATCTGTTTCTTGAGATCAGGTTTGTGTTTGCGTACGTGTAGGGCTTCTTAAGTTTTAGAGAAAATTGAGTGTTTGCGGTGTCTAAGATGGTGAAACATGAGCGAGTGTATTTGGATTTGCAATTAAGATTTTTTAGTAGGTGCTTGTGGATGTGTGAGCTTCGTCGGAAGTTATGTATTCTTTAATCCTGATAGTTAGATGTCGGGTGGTTTCCTGGTGGCAAAAAAATAATTGTGATTATTTATAGAATGTAAAAATGGCCATGTGAGTTAGTCCATGATAGTCCTATCCGTGGTACCACTTTAGATGGATTTCACGCATAGTATAAAAAACACAAAGTTTTTTTTTAATTAATGATTGATGTAAAATTGTTGTTAAAATCGACAAAATATTGTATTTCAATACATATTTGAACATATATAAAGAATATATGATCAAAAAAGTTTGGACAACCCAAGATTCCAAAAGTTTCCTGAGCCCCTGACCCTTGTTAATGAGTTCATGTCAAAATTAGTCATTTAAAGCATATGACTGGGATTTAATTTATTTAATAATATAAAAACAGTGGGTTTTGCATGAGTCTGTGAAAAATAGATCTGAGCTCAATCAATGAAAACAATCAATCAGTCAAGTGAATTTTCAAATTGATCATGAATACATTTTAGATGAAAAATTAAAATGTTTTGTTTCAAATTAATCTGTTTGGCATTGTCTTGATTTTAAAAATACAGAAAAAAAATTTTGCGTTTGCACTGGCTTATGCAAATTGCGGAAACGTTTCATAGAAATCTCGAGCAGGTGCAACCCTCAACCTTCGGTCTCGGGCTTGATCTGATCTGCACTTAAGTTCTCCCAAAGGTATCCTCGGTTCACATATGCTTGCGTGCAAACAGAGTAAACCTCTTCTATTTTTTGACTCTATTTCTTCTAAATCACCTTTCTTTATTTCTCAAATAAAGAAAAACATGTGCAGCATAAAATTTTTCATTCTTTGGCGTATAGATTTTTTCGTGGCTAGACTCTAAAAAATATTGTAATCAAGTCTTTCCTCTGAAAAAATCTCATAATTGATATTTGAGCGGTGAGAAATCTATTTTTATAGGTGTCTTGCATGTTACGTCATAGTCATCATGCTAATGTCAAATACTTAATAAATAAATAACATTTAATCGTTGTCTATACAGTTGTAGATACACGGGTATGACGTCAATTGTGATGAAAACTGTGGCAACGAGCCGCCGCGGCGAGTGGTCACTTCTTGCTTTTATCACAAATGACGTCTTACCCGTCTATCTATAACTGTATAGACAATGGTTCAATGTTATCTTTTTGTTTTGCATAATAAATTGAAAAAATCCCAAAATTAAACCGTCAAACAGTTTGTTTTCCTTGTCTCCCAGCACTTGGAACATTGAAAAGTCTTAATTTTCCAAATATCACGCTTACGTGATCTATAGGATTGAAGAAATTCTATTGGCTAGCTTAATCACGTGATAAAATGTGATTGGCTAACAAAATAAACAAGCAAAGGCTGATCAATTTTGTTGAAATTTTGTTATCGGTATTTCACTGAATCAAATGCTTGGATTATGATGGAAAGTAAATAAATGATGAACTCTATCCTGCTATGAAATACTTTAATGAGAAAAGATGCAAAAACATTAAATTTCTAAGGATATAAATAAATATGATGGAAATAGCAAGACAAAACTCTCAGATTTGGATTTGTGGTTGTGAAAGAGAATTAGAGAATTTGAGGATAATTTCAGAAAAAAAAAATACAAAGAATCTTTTCACAGACAGCTATCTCAATTCATGAAATATTAATAAATATATCGAACACAAAAAATTTTTTAACAACTACCCCAAATTGTTCTTTAGTATCCCTTTATGAATAAGATAACTTTCTGAATTAACAGTCCTTCTTGTTTGGTTTCCAAAATCACAGCAATATTACAACAATTTTCATCCATACGCTTTTCATTTAAGCAATGGGAAAGATTAAAAACTTTGTCCGAGACTTGATTGATTTGAAATTTTTAAGTGAAGAATAATGATTGTAGGATCCAAACAAAGCACCTTAGAGGTAGAAATTCATAAAAATGTATCAGTTAGAGCTCAGTACTAACTACCATTACCTTTTACCAGTATTACTATTGCTAAAACTTCCTAAAATTTATTGTTTTTATATTTTTGATGGTTTTTTGTGGAGCTAGGTTAAGTAAAAAAAACAAAACGCATTAATACCAGCTTAATTTTATATGGATTATCATTTGATAAAAGCATTTCTATTGATGAGATTTTAATTTTTTAAAATTCCTTACAAATACTATATTCTTGTCAAAGTATTTTGAATTTAAAATTTAGCAGCTATTTGTTGTTTTAACTATTGCCGAGTCTTCCACTATCTCCTTTTTCCACGTTTCGATGTTTTTTTAATGAGCAGTCTCTTAACTTTGAACTGATTCAAATCACTTGCAGACACAAACCTCAATGTTACAAGCACAGAACTTGAACAATAACAATTTTTTAAGTGCAAGCCGGAACAATGTTCGCCCATCATTCTTTAAGTGTGCAATGCAAATAGTGTATTGCATGTTTATTCCTAAACAATGAATGAAATTAATTTTATAAAGATATGAATGAAAAGTTTCTTAAAAAAATGACATTGCACGAGAAAAATTTACGGAAGCTTTTGTCAAAGCCACAATTAACAAGATTGGAGAACGAGACTACATTAGTCACCATTCCGGTATTAATTGGAGATGTTGTGGTATTAATAAAACAGGATGAATATCTGCTTATAGTTCACTTTAGTTTTTGTCAGTGAATTAACTGAAAGGGCTTCGACTTGAATTGTTTACAATGTATAATGACAAAAGTAGTGTCTGTTTCTTTGTTGTAGCACTAATGCGGGCGCGTTCAATTATGTTTCAGAGCTCTTTCTAAAATAATGAAGTATATTAATTTTTTGCTAAGATCGCAGTTCATATTTCTGATGGTATCCCTCAGCAAAAATTATTGTTTAGCTTTTAACAGGTTAAACAGGTTTTAACAGGTAAGGGGCCCCTTACCTGCATCATCTTTGCGGCGTGACTGGCAAATCCACACTATCAATTTTGAATACTGTGAATGCAGAAGTTCAAGTTTATGAATCATACTTTGAATCATGATAATGCAGCTGTTTTCTACATTTACTCGTGAACATTTTACACTTACGAAACTTTAATCACTACTGAAAATATCTAATTGTAAACATCTATTATTACACTACGCACATAAAGCATTAAACACCATAACGGGACATTGTTTATGTTACGATAGCTATGGTGTGTGAGAAAGCCTGTCCCTGACATACTTCATAGGCTTAAAAAGTCTCATAAACAGCTAAAATTCTATCAACGGTAGATAACACCATCTTTTTTATCTTTCTCGGTAATTTTCTTCAAAAGCATATGTCAGGATGCATTATAAATGCAGCGTGAGTTAATAGTTCTTAAGGGAGGCAAGGCGGTGTACGGTGGCTCACAAGGGACACCACACAAAATAATAAGAATTATACAAAGTAAAGATATTAATACATACACAAAATACATTACACACACACAAAATAATAATACAAACACAAAATACATTATAAACACACAAAATACATTATACACACAAATACATTATACACGCACAAAATACATTATTCACACACAAAATAAAAATACACACACAAAATAAAAATACACACACAAAATAAAAATGCACACACAAATATGATCGCGGCGCTTGCAGTGTCGGATAGCTGACTACTATCAGCTTATTATATAGTTGTAATCAGAACATGTGGTCGACTAGTACTTGTCTTCGTATTTAACAGTTGTAACTGCGAAATATTTTAAATGACATTTCGAAAGGAATCGAAAGCAAGGTCTTGCGATACTGAAGCGAAAAATAAATAAGAGAAATAATAAGCAGTTATTGGATGAGGTTGAGCATGATATCAAGAAATATTCAGACCGAGGTCAATGTTTTTTGCCTCAGCTTCGCTTCTTTCGATAACATTAGAGAGCTTACGAAACTTCAAATTTTGATGAAGATGCTCGGAGTTAATGCTAGTGCGCATGCTTCTTAACATTTTGGCTGCTTCCTTTGACGACGACGCCGTGAAATCGTCTTCTTTGGACCCCCTGCATGTATAAAAAGTTTATGACAGCATTACTGATCATGCAGAGTTGAGGGACTGGTCTAACAAATCTTGGCAACATATCCATGTATCGACAAGGGTAGGCAAAACGTTTCAAAAATATGCACAATGCCTCAACTCTATCAACCTTAAGGCTGGTATAATTACATGATGTAATAAATTGTGGTAGCCTCAAAGCATCCACAAGAGTATAAATGTGTGATTTCATAAACCGAAATTCTGCTTTACACTCGTCGTCGCTTAATTTATCTAAATCAAACTCTTCGCATTTCCAATGAGGCAAATCCGGACTTTTAGCAGTATATAAGTTGAAAAGCAAAATAAAAGTCTTCGTCGTCGATTGATTGATCCGAATGAGACATAAAAAGACGCTCTCGAAATGCTCTCCACTTCGGCATTTTTTGTTTTTGAATTTTTTTGAAAGCAATGTTTACTGATTTATATTCCCGCCAATTATATTATTCTTCCGCTGAAGCGGCGTTGTAATTTTGCGTAAACTAAAAATACGCTTGCGCCGGCGTTGTGAAACACAAGACGTCGCCGTCGCGAAAAACCGTGCAACGTAAACTCTCTATTGTTACATAAATACTTCGCAGTTAAAACTGTTAAATACAACGACAAGTACTAGTCGACAACATGTTATATTCACAATTACACGTATCTGATTACAACCTTATAATAAGCTGATAGTCAGCTATATATAAGCTGATAGTCAACCTTATAGTCAGCTATCACACACTGCAAGCGCCCGCGATCATATTTTGTGTGTGTATTTTTATTTTGTGTGTGTATTTTTATTTTGTGTGTGTATTTTTATTTTGCGTGTGTATTTTTATTTTGTGTGTGTATAATGTATTTTGTGTGTGTATTAATATCTTTATTATGTATAACTTTTATTACTTTGTGTGGTGTCCCTTGTGAGCCACCGTACAGAGACTACAAATTTCCTATTGGCTTTTTGGCTTATGGACATATTTTATTTAAAATACTAGGAATACTACACTTATTTCAGTATCATCAAAGCTGGCGTCTAATATCATTTGCATTCTGAGTTTATTTATGACAGCTTAAAGAGGGTCACTTATATGACGCCACACTTCTCCTAGCGCAGATGGATGCGCTCATAAGTAGTTGGACGTCAGGTTTTTTATTAAAATTTTGCCTTGTGATGGTTTGTGGCTGATATCAACAACTATTTGTAGAGCAAAACTTCCCTTGACATAGTTTCATATACCATATAAATTTAATTTTGCTCAGAATCTAAGACAACCATAACGAGCTGAATACGATGGTTGTGTTCATTTGTGCATGTAAACTAAAGTGCACTATCATCTATAGCACAACATTCGACAACTCTTTTCAGACACAATTGGCCTTTGGTAATTTTGTAATTTTAGCATAAACGCAAGCTTGTAGCCAAGAATGATAATTGAGGGAGGGCTAATATTAATAAATTCATTACATCCCGTATTGGTTTCTTTTGACATCCAATGTTTTTTATGGACTATGAAATGAATACATGAATATCCCCACCTCCCCAATCATCGTTCTGGCTACGTCCCTGGATGAACAATGGCTTCTTTTTGTGACTATTGAGCATGGAATTATGTATTTAATTAGTGCATATAAATGTGAAAAAATTGTTGTGTTTAATTGTATTCACTTTTCTTGAACAAATCAATCATTAGCATTTGAATACAAACTAATGTACAAAATTGGTTCTTTTATTTCATACAAAACATTCTTTAAATAATTTAAGTTCGAGGCAACGAAAATTATTGCAAATTGAATCCAAGTAAACGAGAAAAGACTTCAAATTTTATGATAACGTTTCATTTCAATAATTTGAGTTTCATCAAAGCTTGCTCTCAACATAAGTATTGTTTATGTGACAGTTAAATGGGGTCACTTATGAAGCTGTATTGCTTTTAGTGGATATTGCATTTGTAATATTTGTATGTGGAAAACAAAACGCACTATAAACTAACTAATAAAAATGCCTAAGAATTTCACAAAAGCAATCCAAAGTGTGAAAAAGAGTTTTTTTCTATTTGGCGAATTGTCTCATTAATTTGACGCAAAGAAAAAGAAATTTCGGCTATAGCTTAGCCATACCAGTGACAGGTGCATTTATCATGGCTGTCAAATGTGTCGTGTTTTCGCTCATGTATACTGAGGTAAAGACCACACGAACTTTCATTTCTCTTACACAATTATATTTTTTAGCAAAATGATCGCATTTTCTTTGCAAAATGAACCACATGAAAATATTTGTTTAGTAGGATTAAAAACAGGCTGGCTTTGCTGCAGCTGATGCGAAAGGTTTAACCTCTATCGGGCATGCTTGGATATATATATCTACATCTGAGATAATGAATTCTCTTAAATAAGAGAAATTCATGAAGACTTTAAGCAAAATGATAAGTTAAATTATATATAACAATACCGATAGGAAATCATTATAAAAGCCTTTTGCTCACACTTTCCATCCTTAAGATGTTGTGAATAGTTTTGATGAAGTTTTTACTTATTTAACTTCATTCACGAACTTAAGAGTTTTTTAATTTGGCCCTTTTCATGCATCATAAATTATTCAATAATCACTTTTGCAGAAGTATAAAAAACATACGCGCTTGTTCTTAAATGCATAATAGCTAAATTCTCTAAAACAGCAACACTTCTCCAAGACAAAACATCGAATCATTTACTCAGGTAACAATCAAGTCTTAGTAGCATATCAATAGGTATAAAGCCACATATGTTGACTGCGTGGAAGTTGTAGAATTTCAACATCTTAGTTTTGAATGTCGATATTGTTTTGTTTAAGGAATGATGAATAAAGTCAAAGTGATCATGTCGATATTTATTGTTTTGATGATGACTCCGCCAAGTCATGGCGGAGGTTTTAGAAGTTTCTCTTACGACTGTAAGGATGAATCTTGCAGAAAACCTATTGAAGCTTGTAAGGAAGGCACCGGTAATTAAGCTATACAAAGTTTTACAATATAATTTTCTAGCAAATACTTCAAACATAAGTTTAAAACTATAAAATGAAAAACATGAATGACATTTAAATTTTTTCTATTCTATGTGATGGCAGGAACATGCTATGCTATTTGCTCCAAGTGTAAAAATAAATGTTGCAGACAACTTAAAATTTGTGGATATTGTTCCTACCCTTTCACGGATATAATACAAATTCCAAAAGAATATTGTTCCTGCAAGTCAGGCGTTTTCAACTGGAAAAAAGCCACTTATCTCCTCTCCTGAGACGGGATGAATTCAAGTTACAAGATTATCTACTGTAAAAATTATTTATATCTCGCACGTTGTTTATTTATGTTAGAAGTTTACAACAATTACTTAAACACAAATTATGTTATGTTTGTTTCAATAGTTTATGACTGAGTAATGTCAATGAATAGTAATTAGTTCGTACGAGATTAAATAAATTAGTATGCAAATATGGAATAATTCGTTTCATTTGGTGTTTATCGTCTGGATGATAACATGCACTACAATACTTTATCATACTCAGTGTTGGACTTTCTCCTCGACAACGCAAACTGATTATCTTCTTATCGATAGTAGTAAGTATAACAAGTCAAAAGAAAGGTTGAACAATAAATTTATTGTTTTGCTTAATCGTTTGATATACTTTCAAAAATGTGTCTCTCATAATGGAAATCAAGGGCGGCGGAACATTAATAATTGGGGCTGGCTATTATTCATACATAAATGTTTTACTTTATTAGTTTCTATTGAAATCAAGTGTGTTTACTGATTATTTCATATGAGTATATGAATATAGCCCCCAATTACAAATGTTCCGCGCCCTTGATTTAATGGCAATAAAGATAATTAACGAGTTTTGGTTTGTCACAAAAATTTGAAAATTAACTTATCCAGAGATGCTATTCTGAAGAGATTACAATCTTCAAGAAATTGATGAACAATCCAGAAAAGGTTTCTTTGAAATTTGCATTCATACAATTTCCCCTTTTGCAAACGAGTTGTAAATTTCCTTACAGTAAAATTATATTCTATTGTCTCACGCTTAAGATAAATCGACCTTTTTTAGAAAATTTGGGATAATTTTTTGTGATGGTCTTATTTTCAACATTTCAACAAAATGGCATACACAGATCGGAGTATTTCATATTATTTATATTAAAGGATTCCACGTACATTGAAACACATATAGTCTGTTAAATATCTCATGCAATTTAAGCTCGATGCTTATGATATAAAAAATTATCCCAAATTTTCTAAAAAAGGTCGATTTATCTTAAGCGTGAGACAATAGCATATAATTTTACTGTTGAGTGGACAGAATAAACCAATTAATAGATAAAATTGCAAAAATATTCTTCTATGCAGTAAATACAAATAGAAATATGTATAACGAACAAAAGACAACTTTCTTGTATCGTTCCCACCAACTCAATAAATATAAGTTGATGTTTGTGATCGTTTACAAATTTTGCATTTCTATAGTACCTTTTGCGTTTTGGTTGACTACATTCTTGTGAAGCTTTGTTAAAAGAGTACAATAATTCCTTTGCTTATAGCAGATAGTTATGAAGTTGATATGCATGTTACTTCCGTGCGAATAAAGGACAACAGGCGTTATCATACCAGTGTATATTTAATGCTTTGTTGTTTAGCAGTCAAAATTTATTGAAAACATTTTTATAAAATTATTCCATCAAAGATTCTTTACCGATTGTAAAAAGTAGCTTATGTTCGAACTTTAAACGAAAACCACACATCGTGCTAGTATCCTAGTAGCTTTTCTATTGCATTTATAGCACTTAGATTGACAAGCTTAAATTACTTAATTAATAAAATTGCATTAAAAGCAGGAAAATTTGGATTAACTTTCAAATGCTTTGAGATATGTTTTAAAAGACGAGTGCAATAAATTTTTCCATATCATTATGCATTTGGATCATTAGCTGTACTGGAGATAATCTTCATCTTTTGGCTATTTTGTCACGTTTAAAATTTACAGATTTTCCTACAAAGTAACTTCAAAAGCATTTTGTTTTGAAACTGCATCCATGCAAACCAGCTTTTTGTTGATATTTTCATGCCCAAATCAACCATATGTCTGTATTGGCTTCAGCCACAGGCCCCGCGTGCTTTTTCTGGCTTAATTTTCTTAATAGTCCTGTTCTAGAACTAAAGCTCAGTTAAGCAATACACAATATTAGGTGTCAGGCTTCTACACTAAAACGCAAGGCCCCTAAAATTCCAAAGTCCTAAACTTAAGTGGCCCCTTTAACGTGAGGTCTCCATAAAATTAAAATTGTTAATAGCGCAATGGTTCAACAAGCGGTAGCCGCTAAATTGGAAATTCAAACAATGTGTGACGTGTGATCACCTTTAAAGTGATAACTGCCCTGGGCTTTGCTGATGGGGAAATTATAATGTTGGTCAATCTGCGTAAATACCACAAAACCTTAAAGTCTATGGCCGTGAGAAAATCAAAAACCATTGATAGAAATCACTCAAAAAGAAGGCATATACCTTAAACTGTAGATGAAGCAAGTGCACTAGAAGCTAGAACGAGCGAACTCGTGTGTGACTTATTTTTTCGAAAGCTATTATATTTTATGGAAAAGTGATTGAGGGTGCAAAGATTCTGTAAGAGGAATGCTCAAAAGATCTAGAAACCAATTATTTTAATAATTTTCTTTCTTACTGATTTCTCTGTAAAGCAGTTGACTGTAACCACTTAACTTCTTCCATAGCTTTCCATAAGGCACCCTTTCGTTAACATGACAACGAAACATATTCAACAAAAGATGACTTAGTTGTCACAATGTACATTCGTGTACACGCCTTTTATGGAGTACAATCTATAAACTGCTTTTCCAATTGCTATGCATTGCAATTATTTCTTGATCTTATGATCTCAGACTGTTCTGCCGAACAACCAATTTCAAAATCAATCTTATCAAAAATTAGCTCCGAGCATACATAACACAGATGCAACTACGCATTCTAACTCTACATACATTCTTATTCTTCCATATAGACTTTGCTTGTAAAAAATTGCTCAAGCAAAACGTTTTTAAAGTCTCTACCGAATGACATCTTATTAATCTGAAATGATATGTTGCCAGTGGCGCACAAGTGATAATTACATGCTAAGAATCTCGTATTTTACAAATAATAACATAGAGACTTTATGTTGTGACAAATATGAAAATCGTTTTAAAGATCGCAAATACTATGGTGAATGGCAAAGTATTAACTTATTACTTTTGCCATTCACCACGGTATTTTACAAATATTAAAAATGCTTACTTGGTGCACTAGAACTGATTTTCCCTTTATAAGTTCTTTAATAGTCGTCAATTATACATACTTGGCTCGATAAAAATTCAAATTGATATACATTATTTCTTGTATTTTATGAAAATAAACTTTCGTATGTAATACATGTATATTTTTGTTTTTCTGAACAGGTGGAGTATGTTAGGAGCCCACACTGAAAGAATTAAAGTAATAGGCCTGACAAGGGGTTGGTCTCTTCGTGGGTATTTATACAGAGGCACCTGTTAAATATTTTTTACACGTTTACACCCGTTAAATAGCATTATGAATTATTTTTCTGGACGATATTTTTCACATAAATATGGCACAAAATAAAAAAACAAACTTTGAACCCCTCTATTTCATGTTAATCATTTTTTATAATAAAAGTTTTTGCAATACTTATTATAAATTTTTTGTAAAGATGGACCATAAAATTTTCTATTAATGACAATTGTTTTTAGTGACAGTTACTCCAGTAACTTTTTCTTTTTCTTCTCCTTCAAGGCTGCTCCCTAATTCGGGGTTTTCCATCTCCAATAAGATCTGTACATTACAAAATCTTCTATTACTCTCAAATGCTCCTCATATCATGCCTCACCACACCCATCCATCTCCTTCAGTGGCTTCCCTTTCTTCTCTGTCTCGGCACCACCATTTTCAACATATTTTTCTCACAATAATCGTCCTTTCTCCTCGTTGTCTATTTGTATAGGAAGAAAAACTTATGTAAGTAAATGAGAAATAAAGCATTGAGCCACAGCAATACAAAAGAGCATTCCGTGACAATGCATTGATAATGCATTAAACGAGGCTTAAAATATAATAAAATTCCCTGAAATGAGACATTTTGATTTTGTAGTTTCCTAGCGTATGAAACGAGGGATGTCGATGCATACGACATAAATTTGCACCATTTTCTTCGTTGATAAATAATATATTCTATTATCCTTTACTTACTTTTGGAAGTCTTCCACTAAATGTTTTTGATGACGTTAAACAACGATAGAAATAGAATATTGAGGCAAAAGAGCGGAACATTTCTATTTTTAAGTCGTTTATTTATCTTAGAAATAATTTTTTGCATTTTAGCATATTTGCCGCCTAAAAAAGAAAATGTTGTCAACGATTTGACTATACACTTATTTCATTTATTTAAAAAGTCTGTTTACCAAATATAATAAAAGAGAACAAGACAAATTAAGCCCCCTATGAGATATTTTCAACATATAAAACATTATATACTGTCAAAATAATTAAAGCTAAAGATTTTTGCAAATTATATTTTGTATGCTGACAGTTTACTCACATTTATTGTGTACTGTTCACGGGTAAGTTTAAACTCTTTGCCCGATATGAAGAAAAAAAGAGCATAGGATTTCAAGGGTGTTGTGCAGTCAACCATCTTGTACTACAAAAAAGATAAGTATATATTAAATTGATATTTTATGAAGAAACTTAGCTACAACCGCTTTTTGTTTTTTCGAGAAAAAAAATTAATAGCAAAAAAATTTTACCTGCTTCTATGCAAGTAACGCATGTTTATTTGTCTGTTAGATATAACAAATGATGTGTAATAATGAAAGAAATGAACATCTTTGATAGAATTATTTTTGTTCTACATAATGTTTTTACACCTGACCATAATAAATGATACATATTCCACATACCACATCCATCTCCCTGTCATACACTGCACCAATCTTTTCGCTAATTTTTTTATATCATTTTTAGGGCCATAGATTTTGGACACACCAGTAGCGACAATTGCCACACAGTCAAACAAACAATAAACATGTTTGTCATCATTAATTACCCTTATTTTGACTTGCCAAAGCCTATTGTTTATCAAAGGAGCGTACGTATTTATGATCAATTTCACCCAGGATGAGTTTCCCTTCTTCGGATTGTCCAATTTTACTAAACATGCACATGCCAAAAAAGTAAAATGTTTGCAGTATCAATTGATTTACGTACTTGGCTAACAACAATAATATAAATACAAAGTATATGCAGGTTTTTTTAAGATCTAAAAATATGTTAAGTATTTTATAAGTTTAAACAAGTAGAACAGTAATTCAAGATTTCAAATATGTATATAGTAATCTGAGATCACATATTACATGCAAGAGCATATGCACATATGT